AGCAACTGAGCCACCCAGGAGACCCAGCTCTTGTTTTTAAATACACCATTTGTCAGGGTGCCTGAGTGGCTCAATTGGCTAAGCATCTGATTCTTGGTTTCAGCTCAGGCATGATCTCACAGTCAAGAGATAAGAGCCACCATGCCAGGCACTGCACTGAGCATGGAGCCTGCTTAAGATATTCTCTCTCTCTCTCTCTCTCTCTCTCTCTCTCTCTCTCTCTCTCTCCCCCCTCCCCTTCCCTCCCTCCCTCTTCCCCTTTCCCCCATTCTCTCTCTCTCTCTCTCTCCCAAAAATAAAAAAAAAAAAGAAAAAGAAAGCACATTTTCTTCATTGGAGTCAGAAGCTCCTAGAAACTATTTAGTAACTTTGTATTCCTTTCTCTGTTCTTGTTATATGCATGCTCTCTAATTATATTTGCATCTTTGGGGCTACTGTATATATGTAGGTAGCCATCTACTTTATTTGATAAGATATGTTAGCCTCTAATTGAAAATAACAGTCCACTTAAATATGAACCTTTTTCTTTTTCTTTTTTTTTAATGTCTATTTACTTATTTTTTTGACAGGGAAAGGGTACAAGCGGGGGAGGGGTAGAGAGAAAGTGAGAGAGAGAATCCCAAGCAGGCTCCATGCTGTCAGCATGGAGCCCAATGTGGGGCATAATCAACTGAGTCACCCAGGAGCACCTAAATGTAAATCTTTTGCACTAGCAATTAACATGGCTTCATTCTAATTTTCATTCTCATTTGTTTGTCAAAATTGACATTGTTTATCAATTCTTTTTTTATCAATTCTTTTTCAAACAATCAATTAAAAGACTTCTGCTTAAATTCTTTTTCTGCATCATTTGTTTTTAGTTTTATTATCTGTATTTTAACTTGTTTCCCCTTCTAAATTATTTAAGCAAAGTTCACTATGGTTCAATCACTGGATAAAATTAAACATGAGGACTCCAAAGTCAAAGACAAGCACTTTCTCCAACCCTTGGGCTCTCACAAAACAGGTCTGGGATTGAAGCCAACACAAACCTCAGAGCTGCTGTGGTCACCAGAGAGAGATTCAAGCCATTCTGTGTGCTGGCTGCCCAAGGACCAGACCTCAGTGAATAGATGTATAAGTCTAGGTATGTATGGATGAGTGACCTAGGTGAATAGATGTATGAGTCTAGATATGCAGGGCAGTGTGTCCTGCAGTGTGGAGTCTGTATCTACAGGGGTCTGAGGGTTTGGCATTCGGTGGCTTACAAAGATGGAGACAAATAGTATCAAATCACATGGTGAGAAATTGATTCCTTTTTGAGTTCTCCCTCAACCCTTCAGACTACCTCTCTGAGAAATACTCAAGTGCCATTTCTTTAACTCCTCCCTAGGACTTTACATTCTCCTTTTTTAACCAAGAAAAGGTAGGTTTCAGACTCAGAACTCTCTACAGGTAATAGCATCTAGCTAAAATTCAGCAAGTGATATTGTTTTCTTCTGTATCATGGAGTGCAAATTTTCATTTTTAATAAATGAATTCCACTTAACAAAATTAGTGAGTTAAATAACAGTATTAAGGAAACAATACAGGTGATAAGTTAATATGAGTGACGTCTGAGAGATAGGAGGTTGATATCACATGAAGGAGGACTATATTTAAGGTCTCACCCAATCTCAAGGACATATGGTCACAAAGGGGAACATTAAGAACAGTTATCCCTTCATTCAACAACTACATAAAAACAACTGAGTGTCTCCTTTAGTCCAGGCATGGTTCTAGAAACTGGGGATACAATAATACATAAAAATAAAGTTCCTGCCCTCATTGGCTTATATACTAGAGAAACAGAATGATAGATGGATGATAGATAGATGATAGATAGATAGATAGATAGATAGATAGATAGATAGACAGACACACAATAAATGATGCTGAGAATAAAAACAAAGCAAAACAAGGGGGAAGATAGAAAGGGGCACTATTTTAGATAGGTGGTTGCGGGAACCCTGAGCAGAGATCACATTTGAGCAGAAATTGGAATGAAGTAAAGGACTGAAGGAAGAGAATTCCAGGCAGTTGTATAACAAGTACAAGGGCCCTGAGGTAGGGACATGTTTGACATGTTCAGGTTGGGTGAGAAGGCCCTGATGGCCAGCCTTTGGAAAGTGAGGGGGCAACAGAAGGAGGTGAGATCAGGGGAAGGGCAAAGGTCTGGGTCATGCATAGCCCTGAGGATTTGGCAACGACTGTGGGTTTTGTCCCAAGTGAGATGGGGAGCCATTGGAGGATTTTGAACAGAGAAATAACAATCTGACTCATATTTCTTAATTTTCCCTCTGGTTGCCTTGTAGAAACAATGTCGAGGGTAGGGTAAGGATAGAAACAGAACCCAGCTAAGAAACTATTTTTAATAATCTGGATGGAAATAATGATTGTTTGGGCTATGAAAGTAGCAGGGAACAGAGAGAAAAAGTACCATTGGATATATTTCAAAGTTAGAGATGACAGAATTTGCCAACACACTGGATAAGGACATTAAAACAAAAGAGGAGTGAGAGGTGGTGCTGAGGCTTTGGCTTGAGCAATTAAAATAGTAAGATGAGGATGAACGAGGTGGCAGCAGGCTGGAAGAAGAGAAGATCAACGGCACAGTTTTGGACAATCTGAGATGCCTATTGGACACCTAAATGGACATGAGGAGTAGGCAGTTAGACATACCTAGGTTTGAAGTTCAAGGGGGAAAATCCCAAACTGGAAATAGAAATTTGGATGGCATTTGAAGCTTTGGGACTACTGAGACCACTTCAGGCATGAGTGTACAGAGAAGAGATAGGGCTTGAGGAGTCAATGGCACATCCCAATTGGTGCAGGTCAGAAGGATGAGAAGGACATTAAGCAAGAAACCAGTGAGGCAGGAGAAGGATGAGAAGGACATTAAGCAAGAAACCAGTGAGGCAGGAGTTTCAAAACTGTGCTTTGAAACCCAGTGGAGAGCATATATTTCCAGACGGTGGGAGTGACCAACCATGCCAACTATGGCTTTTTCGTTTAGTAAGATGGAACCTGAGAACCAACCTTAGATGTGGCAATGGTGGCCTTGACCAAGGATGTTTTGTGGATTGTGGGGAAGCCTGGGAAGGGGGCTTCATGAGTGAATGGGAAGAAGGGAATGGAGAATGTATCCTGGCCACAGTTTGAGGACTTTTGTGGAAAGGGGGAGTAGAAAGGTAACCTGATAGCCCCAAGGATGGAAGGAATGTGGGTCAAGAGTGGATTTTTAAAACTGGGTGATGTCTGCATGCTGACAGGAATGATTCAGAAGCTAGGAGAAAAACCCTTTTCATTTTAAGTTAGACTCTCTTAACTTCAGTTTTCTTCAAATAGGAGCACTTGGGAAGAGTACCTTCCTAACAAGTGGGAAGTTGTAACAAGAATTTTTTTTTTTCTCCCACATCTCTGGGGAAGTGGAGGCTTGGAAGGAATATAGGATGGTGCCACTCTGGTTTGAAAGGAGTATTACACAAGGAAGGGATAGAGCTTTTTCCACTACACACACTGCTGGTCCCAGTCTCAGAGATTTCTCCCAGTATACCCAGTACAGATGATTATCCCCACCATGCCCCTGCCCCACCAAGCTGCTCAACATACCTCTTCTCCTGCCCCAGTGCTGGCCATTCCAGGAGGCCCTGACCCAAATGCCCCAAGTCTAAGTTCACCTGGTAGTGCTTCTTTGGTCTTTTGGAGAAAATCAAAGCAGTGAAATTGAAGGACATTTAGCTTCCACACTAAGGAACAGCTCTCTCAACACAGGCCAAGAATTCAACTGAGATCTGCAGCAGACCAAAATCTCCATCCCTCCTTTACCCTCCTCAGCTGCACTGGTAAGTTCCTTTGCTCCTAGCAGGCTCTGCCTCAGCAAAGTGGAGGCATGGATGAAGGCAACCTCCCAAGACAGCTTCCCCCGTCACTCCCTATCCAGTTCCCCCAGTGGACCACAACACTACCCCCAAGCTTTTCCAGACTGATTTCCCTCATCAGCTCTTCCCCCATCCCCAGTCAAGACACCGACTCAAGTATCCTCTCTCCCTTTTTGTGATTTACGTTCTCATAAGACCGTAAATCCCAACTATGTCTTGTGAAGCAGTGGGAAATAATTAATATTATATCTAATGAAACTTCAACTGAGCTCACACTGTTTAGTGGGGTCCTTCTGTTTCCTTTCCGTCAACTTTATTCCTTTGGGCAATGTCACACTTGCAGAAGTTTCTCTTTGTTATCCGCAGGGGCAACTCTCACTCACCAGAGCAAGTCCCTTCCTGGATAAGCCCAGACAAAAGGGCTGGCTGAGCTGTCCCAGTCAGCAGACTCTTTTGTCCAGGTTTGTCCTGATGTACTCCATCCACATCATCACCAGGACCAAGGTGACCCAGAGCCAGTGACAAATCAGCCAGGGCACCCTAAGCCCCAGGCTATATTTGACTGGAGGAACAAAGGGAGACAAAGTATTTGAGGGGAAGGAAGGTATGTACAAATAATACCCTCTGGTTCTATATATGCGCCATTGTGGTTCCAGAATTCTGTAGAGGAAGGGCCTTCAGGTGGCAACCTTATTGGGAATAAGAAACTGTGTTTTTATAGTTCTTTTTTTTTTTTTAATTTTTAAATGTTTATTTTTGAGGGGCACCTGGGTGGCTCAGTCGGTTGAGTGACCGACTTCGGCTCAGGTCACAATCTCACAGTCTGGAAGTTCGAGCCCCGCGTCAGGCTCTGTGCTGACAGCTCAGAGCCGGGAGCCTGCTTCAGATTCTGTGTCTCCCTCTCTCTCTCTCTTCCTCCCCCGTTCATGCTCTGTCTCTGTCTCAGAAATAAACACTAAAAAAATAAAATTAAATTTAAAAAAATAATAAATGTTTATTTTTGAGAGACAGAGCAGGAGTAGGGGAGGGGCATAGAGAGAGGGAGACAGAAAATCTGAAGCAGGCCCCAGGATCTGAGCTGTCAGCACAGAGTCTGACGTGTGGCTCGAACCCACGAACTACGTGATCATGACCTGAGCTGAAGTCAGATGCTTAACCGACTGGGCCACCCAAAGAACCCAAAGAACCCCTATGGTTCTTTATTTAATAGTGAGGTAACATCAGTTGCTCAGATCAAAAAATGAGTATGACAGAAATTTGGGGGGCACCACTGAGTACCTGGCCATATGTCACAAGGATTCTCTTTTGAGGGATGGCAGATGGGGCTTTGCACCGTTCCAGATCAGCAGCATTTTGCTAGTGAATAATTAAAACCCTGACTTTGGGATCTGTTGGGACCATAAGACTCCCTGGTTGAAGCTTTTCCTATGGTAGGTGGAGAGCTTTCTTTGGAGTTTGTACCAAATGAACAGAGATGTGAGTTGGCCAGATGTGAGCTGAGGAGTTACATGAGGAAAAAAAGGGAGGCACGGGTGCCACCCCCTGCTCCATATAGCCTGTGCCTGATCTTATCTCCCAGCAGGACCAGGCAACCATGGAGGAAGAAAACTACACGAGTGCCTCTGAGTTCATCCTCCTAGGGCTCTCCAGCCAGCCCGAAAGGCAAGATCTGATCTTTGGGCTCTTCCTTGTCATGTACCTGGTCGGGGCAGCAGGGAACTTGCTCATCATCCTGGCCACTGGTTCAGACTCCCACCTCCACACACCCATGTACTTCTTCCTCAGCAACCTTTCCCTTGTGGATTTCTGCTTCATCTCCTCTACAGTCCCTAAGATGCTTGTGAACATCCAGATGCAGACTCAGTCCATTTCTTATTGTGGCTGCCTAACCCAGATCTACTTCTGCATTTTGCTTGCCAACATGGACAACTTTCTCCTGATGGCAATGGCTTATGACCGTTATGTGGCCATCTGCCACCCCCTTCACTATTCCACCATGATGAGTCTGCAAATCTGTGCCCTGATGCTGGGGAGCTCCTGGCTCATCGCCAGCCTCCACTCCCTGCTACACACTGTCCTCATGGCTCGGCTGGAGTTCTGTGCCAGCAACGTCATCCCTTACTTCTTTTGTGACCTCATTCCCCTGCTCCAGCTATCCTGTTCCAATACACAGCTCAACCAGCTCATGATTCTGCTGGTGGGGGGTTTGATTGTCCTCATTCCTTTCCTCGCCATTCTTGTGTCCTACACCCACATTGTGTCTGCTGTGCTTAAGGTCCCATCTACCCAGGGCAAACAAAAGGCCTTTTCTACCTGTGGTTCTCATCTCACTGTAGTCACCCTCTTCTATGGGACTATCACGGGGGTCTACTTGAGTCCCTCATCATCCCATTCAACTGACAAGGATTCACTGGCTTCAGTGATGTATATGGTGGTCACACCCATGCTGAACCCCTTCATTTACTGCCTGAGAAGCAAGGACATGAAGGGAGCCACAAGAAAACTGTTCAGTATAAAGGCTTTATCCTGTGGGCTGTGACAGCAAAGACCCCTCTTAGGGCCTTTGTGCTGGGAAGGGGATGAATTAGAGACAGGCTCCACATATAGAGGGCTAGAGAAACGTAGACTTAATTGTCCTGGGTCACCATGGCCAGGAAGTCCTCTCATTTCTCCATAAGTAATTTGCAAGTTCCTTCTTGGGCTTTGCTCAAACTGCCCAAACATGGTGAGGGGCATAACCTCTCCCCTAAAGACAGAACCACATAAACAGATGCAAATTAGCTTTGTCTGCAGACCTTCCAGAGAAGTCCATGTGAAAAAAGAATCTGTGGCCTGTGCTGATAGCCTGTGCCAAAGGGATGCCCTCTCAGAGCTCCCATGCACCCTCTGTTCCTCAAATCCTTAACCTTCATGCATCCCAATTTCTAAACTCTTCTGCTGTACCCCCACTTCTTCAACCATCATCCCCACATTCTGGGTTGAATCTAGCTCTGGGGACAGACTTGATTGTCCTCAAAGCCATCCCACTCTTGGCCTTGGATGCTGCTGGGTAGGGTTCCATAGCTCTGTATACTCGCATTAGGGATGCTTACAGTGATATCTCAGCTGAACACCTAGACAGGCTGCAAGGGGTATGGTAGAACTTGATAGAGCATTACACAGAAAGTCCTAACCACTGACTTCTGGTCCTGGCCCCATAGTTACTGGCCATTTGAATCCAGTCCATCTGAAATTCACCATTCTACCAAACACACTGTGCTTTTTTAGTCTCTACTTTTGCTGTTCCAGTAGAGTCAACTTGCCCATTTCTATCAAATTTCCAGGTGTCCTTCAGGCTCAGATAAAATACCATACCCTTCATGAAGCCACCTCAAGTCTCCCCAGCTGAGAGAATTTTCTGTCTCCTGGAACACCATATAATTGTAATGCTGTTCAACCCTTTCATATCTGGCTTTGCATGATTCGTGTTCACCACAACTCCACTCCAAACAGGATGGTTGGGTCATTTTTAAATTTTATAAAAGCTCCTATTCATCTTAAGAAACTCATCCTCAGAAGACTCTATCAAGTGCCTGGTTTAAAATAATGACTCGGGCACCTGGGTGCCTTAGTTGGTTAAGTGTCCGACTTCGGCTGAGGTCATGATCTCGCAGTCTATGAGTTCAAGCCCCGCGTCGGGCTCTGTGCAGACAGCTCAGAGCCTGGAGCCTGCTTCAGATTCTGTGTCCCTCTCTCGCTCTGCCACTCACCTGCTCCTGCTCTGTCTCTCTCTCTCTCTTAAGAATAAATAAGACATTTAAAAAAGTTTTTTAAATAATGACTCAATAAAAGTATGCTGCTAATAGATGCTAATAATGACCATGACAATGGTAGCAAACACTGGGAAAAAAAAACATTTACACCCTTTCTCCCCATGATTTAGTCTTAACCAATATGTTTTAGATCTTCCTCTCCCCTTTCAAGGTAAAAGAGCTACCAATCTGGGAGGTCAGAGCCTAAGGAGTTCACTGGTGCATATTTTATAAAGGGCAGTATACCCTAGAGGGTTAGCATCCAGGAATGAAGTCCCCTCCTTCTAGCCTGGTCCCTGGTTAGTCCTCTTCTATTTGTGGTCTGCCTGGAATCCCCACTTGAAGCCCAGTCACCCCTCTCTCTCTCTCCACACCATGCCCGAGCACACGATCCTCAATTCAGATTTGGGGCTAAGAGTAGGAAGCAAGTAGGCCCATACTATTTTCCAGCTCACTTTTGATCACTGAGTCCACGATTGAGGTTACTGAGTATAACTCAGACACCCACAAAGTGGTACTCTGGCTCAAAGTTTGCTATTGTCCTTTGAGCATAGTGTTTCCTTGGGAACCTTCAAGAGTTGTAATGATTTGGCAGGAAAGGATTTAGGCTTTCTTGGGTCTCTGACCATAAAACCACAATAACAGCAAGAAAATCTCACCTCAAACCTATAAAAATGATGTGAAGAAAAGCCAATGTCAACATGGAGGGGAGGTCTTCCTTTAATATGGTTTTGCTACAATGGTGAATAATACAATAGTTTGGACCCAAGGTTAAAAAAAAAAAAGTGAACAAGAAAAAAAAAGGGGGCAGTGCTGAATAAATATGAAAGACCTTCAACTGACCTTGCTCACTGGTGGGCTGTGAGAAGGCTCTCTGGCTCAGAGGCCTCTCTTCCAAGGAAGGGCACAGGATGAGACAATCCTTCTCTCATAGCAAACACCTTTGCAGACTGGCTCTATTCCTGGCCCAGAGTCTGCTTGCTGAGGGGCAAGTGGAAAAGGATGTTCTCTTCCTCATCCTACACAGAGGTCAACTATAAAAAGTTCAGAAGCCCAGCCACCTTTACAGTCTTGGCAGCATAAACCTAATTCTGTGAACTTATCAGACTGTTAAATCTATTTAAAAAATAAAGTGTTAAATTCTTATGTCATACACAAAAATAAACTCAAGGTGAATGAAAGACCTAAATGTTAGACAGGAAACCATCAAAACCCTAGAGGAGAAAACAGGCAACAACCTCTTTGACCTCAGCCCCAGCAATTTCTTGCTCAACATGTCTCTAAAGGCAAGAGAATTAAAAGCAAAAATGAACTATTGGTACATCATCAAGATAAAAAGCTTCTGCACTGCAACAGAAACAATCAACAAAACTAAAAGGCAACTGACTGAATGGGAGAAGATATTTGCAAATGACATATCAGATAAAGGGTTAGTATCCAAAATCTATGAAGAACTTACCAAACTCAGGACCCAAAAAACAAATAATCCAGTGAAGAAATAGGTAGAAGACATGAACAGACACTTTTCCAAAGAAGACATCCAGATGGCCAACTGACACATGAAAAAATGCTCAACATCACTCATCATCAGGGAAATACAAATTAAAACCACACTGAGATACCACCTCACACCATCAGAGTGGCTAAAATTAACAACTCAGGAAACAACAGATGCTGGCGCAGATGTGGAGAAACAGGAACCCTCTTGCGCTGTTGGTGGGAATGCAAACTGGTGCAGTTGCTGGAAAACAGTGTGGAGGTTCCCCGAAAACTAAAAATAGAACTACCCCAAGACCTAGCAATAGCACTACCAGGAATTTATCCAAAGGAGACAAAAGTGCTGATTCATAGGGGCACACGTACCCCAATATTTATAGCAGCGCTATCAACAATAGCCAAATTATGTAAAGAGCCCAAATGTCCATCAACTGATGAATGGATAAAGATATGGTTTATATATACAATGGAATACTACTTGGCAATGAGAAAGAATGAAATCTTGCCATTTGCAACAACATGGATGGAACTGGAGAGTATTATGCTAAGTGAAACAAGTCAGTCAGAGAAAGACAGATATCATATGTTTTCACTCACATGTGGAATTTGAGAAACTTAACAGAAGACCATGGGGGAAGGGAAGGGGAAAAAATAGTTTCAAACAGAGAGGGAGGCAAACCATAAGAGACTCAAATACAGAGAACAAACTGAGGGTTGATGGGGGCCTGGAGGAAAGGAGAAAATGGGTGATAGGCATTGAGGAGGGTACTTGTTGGGATAAGCACTGCGTGTTGTATGTAAGCGATGAATCATGGGAATCTACTCCCGAAGCCAAGAGCACAGTGTAAACACTGTGTTAGCTAACTTGACAATAAATTATATTTTAAAATTAATAATAAATAAGGTATTCAAGAAGAAAGGAAAAAATAGTTCTAGTATCCACATTTTTAAAAATAGCATTATTAAGTACCACCAGTAGTAAAGTGGAAGCATCTTCAAGAATAATGAGACCCTTTTCCCTCTTAGCACAAGGCGCTCACTCCCCACGCTCGTCTTTTCCTCCACTGCAGCCCCGTTCTGGGATCAGCTCACGCCATGGGTTTTGGAGACCTGAAAACCCCCACTGGCCTCCAGGTGCTCAACGACTACCTGGCAGACAAGAGCTACATCGAGGGGTATGTGCCATCACAAGCAGACGTGGCAGTATTTGAAGTAGTCTCCGGCCCTCCACCTGCCAACTTGTATCATGTCCTATGTTGGTATAATCACATCAAGTCTTACGAAAAGGAAAAGACCAGCCTTCCAGGAGTGAAGAAAGCTTTGGGCAAGTATGGCCCTTCTAATGTGGAATGCATCACAGGAAGTGGAGCTACAGATAGTAAAGATGATGATGACATTGATCTCTTTGGTTCTGAGGAGGAGGAAGAAAGTGAAGAAGCAAAGCAGCTAAGAGAGGAACGCCTTGCACAATATGAGTCAAAGAAAGCCAAAAAACCTGCACTTGTTGCCAAGTCTTCCATCTTACTAGACGTGAAACCTTGGGACGATGAGACAGATATGCAACTGAGTGCATCCGAAGCATTCAAGCAGACGGCTTGGTTTGGGGCTCTTCTAAACTAGTTCCAGTGGGGTATGGAATCAAAAAACTTCAAATACAGTGTGTAGTGGAAGATGATAAAGTTGGAACAGATATGCTGGAGGAGTGGATCACTGCTTTTGAGGACTGTGTGCAGTCCATGGACATGGCTGCTTTTAATAAGATTTGAAGTTCATTGTAGATAATTGCCCTTAAATAAAAGCTTGAAGACAAAAAAAAAAAAAAAAAGAATGAGAATAGGGGCGCCTAGAAGGCTCAGTTGGCTAAGCATCCAACTTTGATTTCAGCTCAGTTCGTGAAAGCATCCAACTTTGATTTCTTACAGTTCGTGAGTTCAAGCCCCAGGTGGGGCTCTATGTTGACAGTACAGAACCTGCTTGGGATTCCTTCTCTCCTTCTCTCCCTGCCCCTCCCCAACTTGTGCTCGCTCTCTCTCTCTCTCTCTCTCTCTCTCTCTCTCTGAAAATAAACTTAAAAAAAAAAGAATAATGAGAATAATAAATATCTCCTTTACAGCATTTTCCAAGTCCTATATAACTCTTTCACCCCAATACCTTCCTGTTCACAGTGGATGCCTTTTCCACACCAGAGGGCCATAGTTACATCCACTTAACAAATACAATTTGAGCTCCAATGACAATTCTGCACCAGGTAATATTATAGGTACTGATATATCAGCAAACAAAAGAAAGTTTCTACCTTCATGCAGCTAATGTTCCAGGGCATGGGAGGAGAACAGGAAAAAAAAAAAACAAAACAAATATGCACATGTCAGAAAGCTGTAAATGCTAAGTGCTATAAAGAAAAAGAAAAACATATTCAGGTCAGGAACTAGCAACTGATAAGGAGTATAATTGTGGTAGGGTCTGTGCTTCAAGTGTCCATTGTTGAGAAAAAAAAACACCCAAATTTAGTGGCTTAAAATAACAGCAATCACTGGGGTGCCTGGCTGGCTTAGTTGGTGGAGCATGTGACCCTTAATCTCAGGGTGGTGAGTTCAAGCTCCACATTGGGCATGGACCCTACTTAAAAGAAATAATAAAACAATAAAAAATAAATAATGCCTATCTAACCAGGGATACTATAGAGGTTAAACAAGTTCTTGTATATAAAATAACCTGTGATAACTAATAGATAGTCAATAAATGTTAGTTAAAGCAATCTTTAAAAAATAACAGCAATCATTTATTTTCTCTCTCATATTTCTGGGGGTGACTGGGTTGATCTCAGCAATGCTCCCTCAGGGTCCATCATGCAGTTGTATACAAACAAGCTTGGGCTAGAGTTCTCCTGAAGGATTCCCCACTCATGTATCTAACGGTTGATGCTGGTTGTCAGTGAGGACCACAGTTAGGGCTGTTGTTGCTGGAGTGTGGCATGTCTGTGTGACATGGGCTCCTTCACAGCATGACGGTTCTGTTCCAAGGCCAGCATCCCAACTACTGTTTTTCATGACCTACCCTGAGGAGTAACATAGCCTCACTGCCTCCGTATTTTGTTAAGAGTCACTAAGGTCAGTCAATATTCAAGAGGAAAGGAATTAGACTCTATCTCTTAATGGGAAGAATGACAAAGAATTTGCAGACACATTTTAAAAATATCATATCATAATCATATCATATCATAACATTTCCTAACTACCTACCTAACTACCTTTCCTAATATCATATTCTATTGAGTAGAATAGGTAGTTAGGAAAGTAGTTAGGAAAGGTAGTTAGGAAAGGTCTCTCAAAACAGAAACTCACATGAAGAAGAG